ACAGAAATTCGAAACCGCGAGAAGAGAAGATAAAGCGAGAAAGGGAGTGGGAGAGAGAGCGAGAGAGAGAGAGAGAGAGAGAGGGAAAGAGAGAGAGAAAGAGGGAGAGAGGAAACGGTCGAGCACCCGGAAGAAAAGAGAATTGACTCCTCTCCGCGCGATAAATCTTAAGTCTTCGTCAAGGATCTTCCGCCTTCTGCCGCGCTCCGGCCAGAACGAAAGCGCGCGCTCGTCGGACGATTTTACACTTTTGACGGTGTACCAGTTTTAATTAATGCTAAACAAGACCGGCCGAGATGGAACGGAGATTACCATCCCGACGGAACCCGTTCCCCTGTATTATTAATGATTTATGGATTACGGGGAAACCTGACGGGGACGATAGATCTCTCGATCGGCGCGACCGTCCGCGCAACCGGAAGTCCCGCCGTGTTATTTCTTCAATTTCTTACGCCTCTCGCTTCTCTCGATCGCTCCTCGATCTTTTATCTACGCGACGTTTCTACGAAAAGCCAACCTGAACGACCATCGAAAGAGTTAACGCGACGCGTCTGCTGAGAAAAGAATGTTCGGTCACCCGGTAGATCGACGCGTATCACGCAAGTTTGGCTCGACGCGTGAATATATAATAATCACGGCGGGAAATTTAAAGTGTCCAGTGATAATTGCGAAGGGATCCGAGCGGCTATGTTTGCCCGCAGGAAGATCGTTCGAGCGGTTTCTTGCGTCGGGAACGACTTCCGGCATGATTTCCTCCTTTCGTTGGCTCGTCGCGACCTCCGAGCCGGAAACGTCTGTCCCGGATGATCGATCGATCGCGGCTCGTTTCGTTATTCGCACTTTTTCTGCGCGGATCCCGACCGCGACGAATCATTTCCGATTATTCTGCGAACGATTCCGCGATACGGTAATTTCTCCCTAATTCGCGCTCGGATTGCCACCGCAAAAATGGACGATTTGCGGAGGAGGAGATACGATTGTTCGAGCCTCGTGACTTTTCGCGTGCCGTGTCTTCGGACAATTTTTTCGACGGAAGTGAATTATGCGCGGAAAAAGTAGAGATTTCAGGCTTTAAAATGAGTTTAGTTTCGTTGTTCTACGATTTTTGTTCGCGAAGTTACAGTATTTTGAATGTCGTCGGTGTTTCGGGGGTTGGAAATTTCGCGTAAAGTCAGGTGCGAGGTTTTCCACCCACCGTGTCGCGAATAAATTTTTTTAAAGAAATCGATGCACGGTGTCCGAAAGTAGATACTTCGGGCTTTAAAATGAGCTTAGTTGCATTGCTATACGATTTTTTTGCACAAAGTTATAGCTGTTCGAATATCAACAATTTTTATCGAAAATCTGAAACTTCAACAAAACTAGTAAAATCCAGAACGAGGATTTCCATCCACCGTGTCGCAAATAAATTTTGTTGAAGAAATCGACGAACGACCTCCGAAAGTAGACATTTCGGGCTTTGAAATAAGCCTAGCGTCATTGTTATATGATTTTTTTGCACAAAGTTGTAGCTGTTCGAAAATCATCAATTTTTCGAAAATTCGAGATTTTGTGTAAAATCTAGAACGAGGTTTTCCATCCGTCATGTCATAAATAAATTTTTTTAGAAGAATCTGACCAATATCTTTCAAAAGTAGATACTTCAAGCTTTGAAATGAGCCTAGTTCCATTGCTATACGATTTTTTTGCACGAAGTTATAGCTATTCAAATATCTACCATTTTTTCGAAAATCTGAAACTTCGCCAAAAGTAGCAGACAACTCGTTCTTAAAATTAACGATTGTCAACGACTATAAAAACGAGCCGCAACAATTCACTATAATTTTTAGTAAATACCAGAACGTGCGAATATATCCTGGGCATATCTCAGTGACCCTAGGAGCCGGTTAATCGTCCAGGGAATTCCTCTCAGAAGGACTTCATCAATGTCTCTGACAGAATAACGTTTAACATCGACAAAAATGACCGGTTTCTGATTTTCTCTTCTGCAATTCCTGACTCGAGAAAAATATTTTCATCGGTAACTTTGATACGAACTTCACCATCGAAGCGTCTATTACAATAAAAATCATGGGCAGTTCAAATAAATCCCGTCTTGTCAATCTTATAAAACAATATCCATCGCCTACTTTTAGGACTTGGTAGTTCTAGCGTTAAAGGGCGTCGCTCGGAGAGCTCGACATCGCTCCCTAGAGGTCCATAGGGGCCTCGGCACGTCCCCGGGAGCCGGATGATCGTCCAGAGAATTTGTTTGAAATGTATTTCATTTGATAGCCGAGACAGAGTAATTTTTAAAGAACGCCGCAGGTAAAAATCGGTTGGAAGGCGGATCGGTCTCGACGTGTCTTGGGTATCCCGGTCTCTCTTTTCTCCTCTCACGGCCCTTCCCTTTCCCTCCCCCTCCCCGGCGCCCTCTCACCGAGCCCCGGAGAGTTGGTACATGTGGCGAGCTTCTCGAATGAGGATTTCCTGGTGCGAGACAACGGCACATCGACCTTCGCATGCCAGCATCTCTGCCCTTTACCTCCTCTCGGACTGTGTCCCTCTCCTCCTGCCACCGTACCATCTCTCTCTCTCTCTCTCTCTCTCTCTCTCTCTCTCTCTCTCTCTCTTCGATAGTATTCTCCACACCGTAACAGTTTAATTATCGGCGTTAATCGGCGGCCAGTCGATGCGCCTAAGTGATTAGGAAGCCCCCGGGATCCAAAGTTGGCCGATCGCTTAATTGCTCCGCGACGACGACGATCGCAGTTTTAGATTCGGGGAAATTCATCCGGCCGCGGATTTCATTTGCCCTCGAAATATTATTCGCGATCGTCGGTATCGTTGAACGCGCTTTCGTCGCGAGCCGTTCGGGGCCGCCGTGCTGTCGCGTTTTTACAAAAGCACATTATGCCATCTCGACTAGATCCGGATGTGGGAATATTAACAGTAAACCTAGCACGACGGTCGTTTCGACCGGTTTCGCGTCTTTTATTTCAAAATCGTCGACGTTCCGAAGCTTCTTCTATAGGAAATTATTAAATTATCATGTCATAACTATATACAGTAATGTCTCTCTAATTGACGCTCGGATTGTCCACGAAAATGGACGATTTTGGAGGAGGAGACACGATTGTTCAAGCCTTGTGACTCGTTTCTTACGGTTATCGATTGTCAACAACTATAAAAATGAGCTGGAAGGCTCGATTAATCGTACCTCCACTTCCCAAATTTTCCACTTTTGTGCGCAATCCGAGCGTCAGTTAGGGAGACATTACTGTAGTATAACTATAATCGTAGCGCGTGTTACGATTAAAAATGTTGAAACGTTCGAATAAAATCGCTCCCGTCGTTCTTACATCATTTAACACGCGTCGATTCAATTTTTCTGCTCGGATAAGGCGTTCGCCGTTTGAACGAGGCCATTCGCGGCCGTCGGACACCGTCTGCGACGCGACGATTCGAATTATTCGGCCGAGTCATAAATAACTTCCGATGCGGCTAGGCGGAACACTGTTCGTATCTGTCCGCTATGAGTCACCTGGGTTAACGAGTTTCTGCGTTTACCAAATAGATAAAGGTGCCAGATGAATGAAATAAAGAGGCGAAACAAATGTCTGATGAAAAAAGATGACAGCTCTTTATGCCTCGATCTGATAGATACAGTAATGTCTCTCTAATCGACGCTCGGATTGTCTACAAAAATGGACGATTTACGTAGAGAAGATACAATTATTCGATCCTTGCGGTTCATTTTTATAGTTACGAATTGTCAACAATTATAAAAACGAGCTGCAAGGCTCGAACAATCGTGTCGCCTTTTCCCAAATTGTCCATTTTCGTGGACAATTTGAGCGTCAGTAAGGGAGACATTACTGTAGTTAGGCCCTGTCGAATTGTGCGCGTACGTTGGATCATAGAATTTCGGTGGCGCGAGATTGTTCGATCTCGTGGAAGAGCATTTCCTCGATCGGAACGACGGTCGTGTTCTTCGTGTTTTTCCTCGGCGAGAAAACAGGATACCGGCCGCGAAAGGAACGGAAAGAGAGGCTGCGAATCGGCGGAAATAAGTTATGTAAATCCACGCTTCCTGCCGCCTTTCATTCTTCTACCGCCGCAGTTTATGCTAATAATCGTTCCTCTTTCAAACCCGACGCGGCACCGTCGTCGTCGTCGTCGCCGCCGCCCATTCGATTACCGTTTCACGCGTGGGCCCCGCCGCGTCGGGCCCGTGGAATTTGAAAATCTTTGGGACATCTATTTCGGTGGCGCGCGAACACGCTTTATTTCGCGGGCCCGTGAAATTTGAAAATCTTTGGGACATCTATTTCGGTGGTGCGCTTTCTTTCGCGGGCCCCGCCGTATCGGGCCCATAAAATTTGGAAATCCTCGGGACATCTATTTGTGGCGCGTCCGCGCGCTTTATTTCGTGGGCCCCGTCGCATCGGGTCCGTAGAACTTGAAAATCTCTGGGACATCTATTTCAGTGGCGTGCGGGCGCGCTTTCTTTCGCGGGCCCCGTCGCATCGGGCCCATACAATTTGGAAATCCTCGGGACATCTATTTGTGGCGCGTCCGCACGCTTTATTTCGTGGGCCCCGCCGCATCGGGCCCGTAGAATTTGAAAATCCTCGTGATATTTATTTCAGTGACGTGCTTTCTTGCGCGGGCCCCGTCGCATCGGGCCCATAAAATTTGAAAATCTCTGGGACATCCATTTCAACGGCGCGTCCGTACGCTTTCTTTCGCGGGCCCCGTCGCATCGGGCCCATAAAATTTGGAAATCCTCGGGACATCTATTTCAACGGCGCGTCCGCGCGCTTTCTTCCGCGGGCCCCGCCGCATCGGGCCCATACAATTTGAAAATCTTCGCGACATCTATTCCAGCGGCGCGCCCAAGTAATTGGTCAGTGGACACCGTCGGCCGGGGCCAGCAGTGTCCACCGAGATTACCACAGCGGCGCGGCCGTACGCCCGACGAATTCCAATTAATCGTTCTCGATCGGTTTTGGTTTCAGAGAGCAGAGCATAGAAAGTGGGACGTGTTATGAAATTGTTGCCGACGATCCAACTGCCGCAATTGCCGCCGGTCTCGGCCGGGGGTGGAATGACGGGGATGGACTCTCGGCTACCACCAGGCATATCGCTGCCTTTCAGCCCCACGGACCTGCTCTGGCGATACGGCCCTGCCATGAATTTCCCGCCCACGCACCCGCCGCCCAGTCCGTTTCTCGATTTCAAGACCCATCTGCCGGCCAGTCTAGGTAAACAGGCTCGTACATCTCTCGTCCGGGGTCCCTAGACTCCGGATACATTTGGAACTTTCTTTTTTGCAATTCATTTGGAATCACTGGGATATACATGCTGGCCACGCTAATCATCCCTTAGATCATATTGCTGCTCCTAATTCAATATTAAATATTAGATATTAAATATTAGATATTAGATATTAAATATTAGATATTAGATATTAAATATTAAATATTAGATATTAAATATTAGATATTAAATATTAGATATTAAATATTAGATATTAGATATTAGGTATTAAATATTAGATATTAAATATTAAATATTAGATATTAGATATTAAATATTAGATATTAAATATTAGATATTAGATATTAAATATTAAATTTAATGTTCCTAATTGCAATGGAAAACCAGATTAGCAAACATTGTTATCAAATTATTATTGGGAAAATGAAACTTGAAATACCTCTCCCTTCGATCTTCATTATTTAGACATATCCCAGCGTTGAATTAGAGCAGCGATATACAGGGTGTCCAAAAACGCTTTATCGAAAAAATGTAAATGTGTTTAAACGTTGGTTTATAAAAATACGATACAAACGGGAGATCAATCCCAGGAACGTGCTCCAAAATGCATTTCCTGTTACAGTAAATTCTCCCGAATTTTCCTTCAGCTTGCAAACAAAAATTGGACAATTTGGAAAGAGGAGAATCGACCATTTTCGTTCGCAAGCTGAGGAAAAATTGGAGAGAAACGACCGAGTTCGAAAGAGTTCTTAATAATCCTGAAAACCGATGTTACAGCGTCGGACCCACGGCTATGGTCCCGGGAGGACGTGGCGACGTTCCTGCGATGGGCGGAGCGTGAGTTCGACCTGCCCCAGTTCGACATGGACATGTTCCAGATGAACGGCAAGGCCCTGTGCCTGCTGACAAAGGCGGACCTGGGTGAACGATGTCCAGGCGCCGGCGACGTTCTCCACAACGTGCTGTCCATGCTAGCCAGAGACTTCAGCCAGCTTCAAAGGTGTCTTCCGAGCAGCCCGGTGACACCGACGAGGCCGTCAGCGTACCCGTTGAGCCCGCACTCGCACCCGCCCACGCCCACATGGACGGAGAACCCGTACACCGCGAACCTCGCTTCTCTGATGTCCGCGAACTCGGTGACACTGTCGCCGGCGCCCTCGGTGGACAGTCAGGCGGGTTCGCCGGGTCACACGGAGGGCACCCAGAGTCAGGTGTACAAAAGCGACTCGGACGAGGACAATCAGCAAGCGGCGAACGGGAGCCCGCCGGCCACGCCCACTGCCCTCACCGCGCAAAGGCTAAGCGAGGTCTGCGTGAAGGACCAGCCCAGCCCAACGCTCACGCAACCCATGATGCCTCTGACGCCCGGTGCCTTCAGGACGAACCCCGCCAACACGGCCAGGGAGTTCTTCCCCAGCGATTCGCCCGAACCGAATACCAGTACGTTTTTTAATACCGATGTAATTGGACCGCGGATTTTGTCCGTTTATGGACTGGTCAAATGTTGGAATAGATAGGTCAAAAACTGGGAATGTTGATGTTAATTCCAAGATGATATTAATTCCAAGTTATTGAAATTATTTGAGGAAGGAAGATCGTTGCACTCGTGGCTCCTGCGTCTTGAAATTGTTGCAGATCATTTTGATTTTAATTTACGTAATTTTTGTTTTAGTATGCTCTCGGTTATCGCGGGTTCGTTGACACTAGATTCACGGTCTACTAGAAGCAGCTGTTTTATATTAATTTGTAATAGCAACAATAAGTCGTTTATTGTGATTTCGGACGAGCATTATTGTAATATTTTCCGCGAGTGACGCGTATTTCCAATAAATAACTCATAAATGTGTCTGTAAACCCAGCGTTAAATTCGTGAAAGATACATACAGTAATGTCTCCCTTACTGACGCTCAGGTTGTGTACAGGAATGGACAATTTGGGAAGTGGAGATACGATTATTCGAATCTTTCGACTCGTTTTTATAGTTGTTGACAATCGATAAGCATGAAAAACGAGCAACAAGGCCCGAACAATTGTATCTTCTCTTCCGAAATTGTCCATTTTTGTGCGCAATCTGAGCGTCAGTAAGGGAGACATTACTGTAGGTGCCTGTCGAACTATATTTAATTACAGAAATAACTTTGATACCTTTCACTATTTGAACTATCAATCAGAATTTTCATTTTATTAACAAAAATATATATAAAATATGTAACTAAAATAACGATTACAAAAGAGAAAATACATTATCACATGTCTTCACGAATAAATCGTATCAGATGGTAAATAAAAAGCTGTAATTAAATCTAATTTGTCTATTCAAACTATTCGTTGAAACGCAACACTGCCCGAGGGTGGCTAAGCTAATTTCTAAACGTTCCTGCCCCTTCCATTGCAGACGGTAGACTACTTTGGGACTTCCTGCAACAATTGCTGAACGACCCGTCGCAACGGTACACACACTATATCGCGTGGAAAAGCCGAGAAACGGGTGTGTTCAAGATCGTCGACCCCCCAGGATTGGCGAGGCTCTGGGGCATACAGAAGAATCATCTTTCCATGAACTACGATAAGATGAGCAGAGCACTGCGGTATTATTATCGCGTGAACATTCTGCGGAAGGTTCAAGGAGAGCGCCACTGTTACCAGTAAGTCTCAAATGTCTCTCAGCGATGCAAAAATATACATGTAAATACGTACATAAAATACATATGTAAATATATATATAAAAATATAGTATATACATACTTGAGAGATGTAGTAAATTCTCCCAAATAATTCCTCAGCTTGTAAACAAATGGTAAACAAAAATGGACAATTTGGAGACAAATGAACAAGAGGAGATACGATTATTCGTTTTCATAATTGTTGACGAGATCGGAAATTATGAAAACCACAACATAACTTCTCCTCAAATTGTCCACTTTTGTTTCCCAAGTTGAGGGACAATTGGAGAGAATTTACACTGCATCGGTGCATCGAAGAGCGACTGGACATTTGAAAAAACCCTCCAAGATATTGTAAAACGTCGAAGAGCGTACGTTTTAAAAAAGCGTGTTCTCTATGCTCTCAGATTTCTGCGGAACCCGACAGAGCTGAAGAACATCAAGAACATATCGCTGCTGCGTCAACAGATGCGGATAAAGTCGGAGCCGGAAGAGGAGGGCGGAAGTGGCGTCGAGCCGGAAATCGATATGCCGACGGACCTCTCGATGTCCAGCATGAGTCAGCCGTCGAGCGAGCAACAGCAACAGCAGCAATCGCAGCAGCAACAGCAACCTCTATCTCTGCACGACCCACCGACGAAGTACAGGAGTCACGCGTACAATCTGGTGAAGACCAATCAGGAGTCGGAGGAGAGGAAGTGACGCGAGTGCTGATTCGACGACGTGTTATCAACGTTGGCAGCTTCGACGGAATGCCTGTTGGACGCGTGCTCGTGAACAGTCTCATGGAATTGTGGTCGAGTAAGATCCGCCGTGAGTGGATGGATCGAGTGACGTCACCCCGGGCGAAATGAAGACAGTGTTCTCGCACCCGGAAATCCAGAAAACCCGGTGGACGCTAAGATTTCCACCCCTCCGTCCCTCCCGCGAGCGGGACAGAGGGGAACGCTGAGAAAAGACTGACGACGACGACGACGACTGCATTCTGGAGATTTAACGGAATCAGCGCTGTGCAACAACGCGGCGACATATTTGAAAACCGGGTACCGAGTGTCGCTCCATCTCGACGGCCGAGCTTTTCGGATCGAGAAGACTTTTCGGATCTTTCGGTCGTTTCTCGTAGAGATTGTTTAGTCGATACACACGACACGTACACACACATACACATACACACGTACACACACCGGTTCGACACGTTGGGCATATAAAAAAACGGACGTTAAAAATCCCCGGCCCGATTATGGCGAATCGGCGGGGATCATCGACGACGCAGGTCGAATTATACCCACCCACGCCTCGAACCGTAAAAGATGATTGGCTGCCGGCCGGGAGTCGATCGTCGTGCCGCAATTTTTTTTTCCGAAGACGCTTCGGTGAAGCTGAACTTTCGCGGATATTCCGCCATCCGTTCTTTTGTTCTGTTCTACTACTAAACCCTCTTCTTCCGTTTCCTTTTTTTTCTTTTTTTTTTTGTTCTTTCGTTTCTTCGTCCCAGAAAGAAGAGACACGTGCGCGAGTGTGAAAAACGGTTTTTCGCTTCTACAACGAACTACGATTTTTTTTAGAAGGGGCTTATATTAGAGCGTTATCGACGAAACGTACAAAAACAAGCGGTGGTCGGGAAACGATCGAGGTGTTTTTCTTTTATATATGTATATTATATATATTATATATAATATTATATTAATATTATTATATATATTATATATATATACACATATATATGTGTATGTATGTATATTCCAAAGTTGTTCTGTGATGTAACGTTTAGCCCGAAAGTAAATTGTGACCCGGAGCTTGGTTGTGCGACTAGAGATTTTTGTTTTAATTTCGGTGTTGGGGGTGGGAGGGGGGAGAAATGTTATCGAAAAAGCCGTACGCGGGATCTTGATGAAACTTTGAAAAGAGACGGTCGTAGGGAATCGGTCCTATAAAAGTTCGACAAAAAATAATTCACAGAGCAACTTGTGTATCCTTTGATAAGGAAGTTCGCGCAAGCGGATTCCGGATATCTCTGTTGGTGTTCGAGCGGTATATTAAAAGGTAGCATTTTTTTTTGTTAATTGTAACTAATGTTGAAACGTACAGAGACATCGAGAATCGGTTGCTGCGAATCGATTGTTTATCGAAGAAAAAAAATACACACACAACTTTGGCATTTACACCATCCCGCTAGCTCCAGTAGTTTCCAAGATATTTAAGCCGTACATGGTCTACGGTAATGTCTCTCTAATTGACGCTCAGATTGTCCACAAGTATGGTCAATTTTGGAAAAGGAGATACGATTGTTATATTAATATAATTATAAAAACGAGTTGCAAGGCTCGAATAATGGTATCTGCTCTTTCCAAATTGCCCATTTCTGTGCACGATCTGAGCGTCAATTAGGGAGACATTACTGTAGTACGATTCCGTGAGAACAACTCCGAATCAAAGTTCCACCGAAGATCCGCTGATGTGTTCCCCTCGGAGAAAAGGATCATTTTTGAATCGCGAGATCCATCCTGTATATACCTGGATTCGATAAAACTATGTAATAGAACGCCGGTTTCCCGTCGCACCAACTCAGTTGTGCCAATCTAGTATCGTCGGTAATTATAACGTGTAAGTGGCAGCGTTTTAGTCGGTTGTCTGCGAACAAAAGACGAGAAAGAGAGAAAACCTCTGACCATTTTTCGTCGACGCGACGCACCGGAAGTGTGCGCGGATGGTTTGCGAGTATGCTGAGAGAGAGAGAGAGAGAGAGAGAGAGAGAGACGAACTATATAAAAAAAAGAGCGAGAGAGAGAGAGAGAGAAAAATGAAAAGCGCGGTATATAGTGGACTCTATGAAGCGGCAAAAAAAAATCATAAGCAAGTAAATAAATAAAACGAGGATAGGAGAGAAGAGTTTTATGGAATTCGGGGCCAGAGTTATATATATAAATATATATGAATATAAATTTATGTATAAATAAATCTCTATATATATTATATATATATATATATATTTTACTACCGAAGAGAAATTTATATTCGAAATTTCTATGTTCGTTGTCGATGCGATTGTGGTTCACATTCCTCGCCAACGGACCCTAGACTTTCAAAGCGAACATAATGAAAAAAAAAAAGAAAAAAAGAAAAGATGAAGAGGGCAAAATAACCATAAAAGGAGGACAGAGAAATGTAACTAGGGACCGAAGGCGCGTGTACGACTAGAAAAAAAAAATAATAACACACACACACTCACAGGTCTTAAGATCGTATTTTTGCATAAGACTCGAAGACATTAAGGGGAAGAATGTGTGAGCGTTGTTGATTAGTATGAATGCGAGCGCGATGGGGATCATGTACGTCACGATAAAACGTGCGACGGATCGACACGATTGGTCGAAAGACGGTTGTGTGAATCGTGTCTAATCGCAAGAAAAAGTTACGGTTCGTCGCACGCGCGCGGCTATCGACGCTGCATTGTTTATGGCGATGCATAAATATGACGTCAGAGTTGTGCATTAATCGATGAAAACTTCTAAACTTCGTTACATGAGATGCATGTGATTAATTAAAATTGGTCGTCGAATATGCCTATCATGGAAACTGATATTCTCAATATAATGTTCGTGATTATATCGATTATTTCTCGGTGAAGACAATTCGAATGAATCATTAATGATCATGATCGCATGTCTTGTAAAAGTTTTTAATTTGATCGATTCTTTGATCCGTGTGACATAGGGAATTTTAGATAATCATTAATCCAATTAATGATGTCGAAAATGCCTGTCGATTAATTCAATTGAAGATGAAACAAGCAGTGAATCGCGATTATAAATTAAATTGACAATTGAATCGTAAATCGCGAATGATGAAATCGTTGGTCTTTAATTGCGTTAATTCTAGCACAACTTTGCGCGACGTGTACAGTCCCCTTGATAATATCGACGAGATGAAAAATTGGGGGGAGGGTGAGAATGACAAGCGTATTAGTAAAACAAGAGATTTATAAATGGAGAAAGTTGTATTTGGCTATTTGTATACTGTGATCTCCGTGAAGTTTTTATTGTAACACATGGCGAATACATAGAAAAACTTTTGTTTCGTGTATATATAATTTTCATGAGAGAACGATTTATATTATAAATATATTAAACCGATACACACACGAGTGCGCGCGCGCGCGTGCATACAGACACATACACATACACACGGATTGTGTTCTTAAACCTATCAGCCCAAATTTTGATCGCAGAATTCTGTTTCATCGAATCGATCGAATGATTTGAAAAAAAAATAATTCATAATTATTTATAACAAGTTTATAAAACTTGCCAAACGAAGTATACGGTAATGTCATTTAATAGAAAATTTTTCTACATTTTGTACTCACGAATTTGACGGCATTTAATTCGGAAAAATTGAGAAACTAGCGATTTAAATTTGGGCCGCTGTAAGTCCTTCATATTATTATATTGTGCATGTGTGTGCAGATGGCACACATACACACGCATGTATCGTAGACTTGTAAGGGGCATCGATATTAATTGAGAGCCCCTGGTACCCTCTTGAGACACACAAACATCATCATCTTTTTCCGATTCCCCCGAGAAAGTTTATATATTTCGTTTCTTTTTACAGATCCTGTATAAATTGAAACTGTACAATTTTAGGCGAATACTGATCGTTTATTGTGTAACTCATTGCAAAGAGTAACGTGTAAATAGAGATTTATTTACTTATTAAGCAAATCTCTTGGCATCAATTTATCATTCCACCTCTAACAAACCACCATCAACAATATTTTTGAAACATTTTCTAATGACTTAAGGCAGGACAAGCTTGGAAAGAATGTTTGTATATAACTCAATTAAAAAAAAAGAGAGAGAGAGAAGATGGTTTTGATTAATTAAATCAATATAAGTTAAAAAAGATGTTTTTAATTAATTCAATCAACGTAAATGCTTAAAAAAAATATATTTCCGATCAATTTGAACGGTAAGAGTTGCAAAAACAAAATGGTAAAAAATCACGAACTACTTTTAAGATTACTTTATTGTTACAAAAGAGATTTACAGAAATAATACATAAAAATATTTAGCTTAGGACTTCTGAAAGAATATAATTTCGTCTGCTATTATCGCTGTACCATTTCTGGTTAGACCTTCTTGGTCTTTGTATTCGCTATAGCTTATTTTACCCATGACCATAACCCTCTGTCCTCTTTTCAAAAAATTCAAGACGGTATCGCGGAGTAATGGCTTAAAAACGCATATCTTGTGCCAGTCTGTCTTTTGCATAAAATCTCCTGTAATTTTTTGAAAACATATTATCACGCGATGAAATAATAAGTATGAATATTACTTCACACCATAAGCTTTTTCTAGCAGTTTCTTTAACTCTGGCGTTTACTTTCCAAATCTTACTAAAATATTTTGTTTGTCTAAATTATGAGTCGGTAAAGCTAATTTTTAAATTTTCTATACAGCATGTAGTATCCTACCCTAATCTATTATATATCAATAACTTACCATTATCATATTTATAATTATTGTGTGTCGCAAGCGAAAACGTGATCATAGGATGATCGTCGCTACCCTTTTTCTGTGGATCAGCCCCAACCCTTCCCAGCACTGTGATCTGATTAATTGCTACAAATTTAATATTTCTTTAATTAACTGTAATTCAAAAATAAATATACATCCCTTCCGAGATGAGAAATATATCTAATTGAATATATTAGGAACTATCTAAGCTTAGAATACTTTGAGAAACATTATGTATCTTTTGGTAAATAATCTAGTTCCATAAAATCAATTCCACACACAGACCTTTCAAGGTACTTGTATGTAAAACAAATATTTCTGATAAATTACACAACGATTTTGACCAAGTTTTGTTTTTCGATTCCAAAAAATTCGAACAGTTCGTAATATTAATAATAATAACAATACTGTTAATTACTTACTTTTTTCTAATTTCACCTGTGTACACATTTGTTTATTGTAAATTCCCAAAATACTGGGCAACCTTTTCGAAATAACCTAAAAATGTAAAAAAACATGTTTTCAAGGATTTACATAGTATGATTAAACTGAATTTATGTACTATGACATCGGAGATTGTTACTTACGTTTTGAAACATTGTCAAATATAATTATTAGCAGTAAACGATCTTGTTAAAAAACACACCGCACAGTAGCGTTTCAGCGCACGTGTAGAATATTTGAAGCGACCTCTCTCGGAATCATGAGCACTTTGTCTTTAAACATACCAATACTATTCGCCTAAAATCATCTTATGTTTACTCTCAACTATGTATTAGTTGATATTATTCTTTAGTGACCATTCAATGATTTGGTAGCAACAAATTCACATTGTCCGCAGAATAAAATACAGAATATACAAAACCCAATTTGCTACAAAAATACACGTATAATTACTCATATTAATTATACTCTTAAAAAACTACGTACTTACATTCGTTTTTAAAACAACTCTTTTTAAGTTGGAAGCAGCAAACATCTAATCTGTGTAAAATCACCATAGCCCGCGTATGCGCAATGCAGACTCATCTAGAAACATTAATCATAACATAATTAGGGCATAAAAACGTAAATCAAGGACACGGAACTGTTCAGAAGAATCTGCTGCATCGATACCGTTTAAGAAAACCAATTAACAACAACTCAGAATATAATTAATTAACATAATAGTTAACCAAACTTCAGAAAGCAATTTAATTATGTTTCGAAATGTTGTCATTTGTTTTTTTATATAATATCAATTCAGCAGATTCTCCTGAACAGTTTAGTATCCTTGGTTTAGCTTTGTATGCTCTAATTTTGCCATAATTAATGTTTTTAGTCGACCATGCATTATTCACATAGTGGCGATGGTGTCGCCTCTAACGGAAGAACTACGAAGCTCCGTTCGATGTCCGTACAGCGCCAATTGGTCCAGTGTGAAAACGCCCAAACTGTTCGCCAAAAGCAACCGTAGGTAATTTGGCTAACAGTTTGAGCGTTTTGCCGCTGCACAAATTGGCGCTGTACGGACATCGAACGGAACTTCATTTTTTCTCCGGAAGAGGCGTGAGAGAACCACCGATTTTTAATGCTGTAGGTATTTCTATGGTTTTGGGTAACCATTCAATATAGATGTTTCCATACACACCTATATTATGCACCGTGCTACAGGCTGTCATTCGCACGTGGTTTTGTTGTTTTTCGCTCCAAAAATACATGCGCACTAACGGTTCGAATTGAGTGTTTTGAAAAATCTCGATATATATCGATTATGTTTGAACGCTGCACGCTCTTAAGTTTCTGTAAATGGAATTGAAATTCAGAAATTTTCACGAATCATACATTGAATCGACAATAAACAATGGTCAACTTGGAATTGTACAGATCCAAATTGGAAGAAATTCGTCGAAAAGCACGGGAGAACGATGTTTCTGAAAAAGAAATCGACAAAATGTTGAACAACTCGTTTCGCATTCTTGAACTGAAAAGGAAACAACGTGGCGCATCTTGTTGCACAATATCAACAATTTCACTTCTATTAATCATAATAGTTTCCCTAATTTTTTTCGATCGACGATTTATTTCCGTCATGATAATGCGAAATTTGCAAAATTCTATTTACCCAGGCTTGAAAATGCTCCGAAAAATAGCTGTGCCTATAGTTCAGCATTATCCTTCTTTATCTGGTAACAGTAGCTTGAACATTTTTCATTTGTTTCTCCAGAGATAAAAGTTTCGAAATGTTTTCAGAATTTTATGACGAATGGTGCATTTTGGAGAACCCGTACTTCTATGTAAACGACATTGATTGCTGGCCTTGCAGCGTAGTCAATTTTGTGCCTGACCTAACTGGTCATCATATATCCAGATCCTTCAATCCTGGAATGCCCTACACGAAAACTGAAAATTTCTCAGAGATTCATTTCAAAGATTTGAAACAATTATTCTGGGAAAATCATGATACATTCGAAAGAGATGCAATGGAAATCTACTCCAACAATTTGACTTACAAGTAATTATGTCAGAATTACTATCGATGATCCGAAAATGATTATTTTTCACAGAAAACCATGTTGTTACAGACATATTAGAGATGTTATGGAGAGCACGATAGATTCACATCCATCTCGTAATTTGGATGATCATGTTACATGGAGAGTAAATCGGATGACAGCAGGAAGAGTTGTAAGAAAGTTATTTCCTGTGCCAGCTGACACACCAGTTTGGTGGGAACAGAGCACGGAAAAGTTTATTATTATCGATGAACAGAGATCTCCACCTTACGCTTTGGTAATATTAATTTTCTTTATGCAAAAAGATAATTTCTTATGGTTATTTCGTATAATTATCTCTGCAATTAATTAATTAATTATTAAAACAACAGCCAAATCCCGAGTGCAGCAACGTGGCAATAAGATGCACATCTGGCACTAGATTAATAAAGATGGTAGCAAGTTTAGAATGTACTGGCTCATGCGTATCCTTCACGGTTTTATTAACTGCTGGCAAAATTCGTAAGTATATCGAATTAAAGTAATTTATATCGTTATTCTGAATGTTGTACATTTTTAACATTTATTTACATTCGATAGAAATTACACTTTCTCCGATTTCAGTATGGTACAATTGGTGGTATTGGCGCCCAGTTAGCCTACCTGTATCGAATTCAACTAGTATTTCTATCAATTACATAATCTCCTTTTGCTAGTTATTTTACAGAGTCGGAAAAAATCGGTTTTTGTATAATTACATCGCTAAGAATTTTTCAATAAATGTATAATGCGTTTCACCTTCTCCGTATTTCTCTTATCAAATAAGATAAGCTTCGTAATAAATAAATATTTCTGTGCAACAGTTTATAAATAAAGGTTAAATGTATAGTAAAGTTTGTACAGGGCGATCTGTTTAAACCGATCCGCTCGAAAATGCGGACAAAAAAGACTTGAGCGAATCAATTCAAACGGGTCAGCCTGTATAATGGCCATTTGAACTGAGTTTGTGCAGTTTTCATAGATTCAACGTCTCTCAGTAATCTTTGTATGAAGATTAATATAGAAAAAAAAAGAAGAATAAAAGAAACATAACAGCGTTAAATTCTTTGCAAAATTGTAATATATAAAACTATTTTTCATTTCTGATCCGTAATAATCGAAGGGTTCAGTGTGAAAGGAACTTATTAAATATTTCGCTTATTATGGATAAGAGGAAAGCTATGTTATGTTAGATGTAAAGAGGCAAATATTTTTAGCAAATTGGATCGAAGTTGCTTATCGATAATAAGTGAAGTATCTCAGGTGCTCGGCTCATGTGTAGGAGACCCTGCGTTTAAAAAGGATTTCCACTGGACCCCTAGATTGTCTATACATATATGTATATATAATCCTGAACTTTCATTTCAAACTGAGGAATGTCTCACAGTTTCGTCGATAGAGCATTGAATCACATAAAATCGATTCGATAATAGAATTAAGTCTAAATTAAGCTTCGAAATTTTTTTTACAGTGCACCATGCACTCAGTGTATACGAATTCATTCCTAAAGTTCAGTCGAACTTCTCTTGTAGTTTCTGCTTAAATAGTACAGGTACTAGCGACAGCACAGCGAACACACACAAAATCAGAATACTGTTCCACGACCATGCGTCGGTCGAAGAAGTCAGGTTCTGCAATGTCTGACCAGCCTGTATTGCTACGAAGGATGGCGGCGCCACTCCGAAAAATGTGCCTAAAATGAAAGGCGCCAGAGGTACTCCGATAATTGGACTGGCAAGGTTGATGAACCAGTTCGGCAGCAACGGAGTCATCCGCAGGAAAAGCATATAATTGAACAAATTATGCCTGTGTTTCTTTACTGCCTGTGTCCACTCCCTTGCTTTCACGGGAAAGTACTTGAAGAGCAGCTTGCGTCCTAACAGTGACGATAGAAGGTAGCACAGCGAGGCTCCTATCGCGCTACAGCTGCATACTAGAAATAATGCTAGCGGGAATGGAAAGAGAAATCCTGAGAGGATCGATAGAAAAATTGAGCCCGGAATCGCGAAAGTTTGTAAGCTGAAATACTATTAAGGAAATTATTGGGTTTAAGAATTGAATTAAAGCAATTATGTACTAAAGGTTACAAAATGTAGGTCGTAAATACTCCAGCTAGCACTTGGAAATAATAGAGATCCTTGTATCTTCCTAGCAGTTTGCCCAAATTCTTGGCATCTTCGATATGCAGTGGAAGTTTCATATGTTGACGCTCATTTCTGTAAAAAAAAGGATTTCGACTTAAATATGTTTTCAAATGACATACATATGGTTCTTATTTGTTTCTTACTCTGCGAGCTCGGGGAAACTAGTGTACACATAGAACAAAGCTGATAACGAAGTGACAAAGATCACTATAACTGTTAGGAGAGCTTGCCTAGTTGATTCCTGTTTCAGGGAATCTGAAAACACATATAAGCCATGGTTTAAATGTTGTGGGATTAAAAACTTTCAATGCGGGCACTGTGTAAAAGAAAAATTTGATTAAGTGTTAATTGATAATAACTCAATTTAGGTTAGGATCTACGACACTATATTATTCTCATATATTCATAAAAATATCGAGTTTTATTCATTGCCATTACGGTACCAATTATCGCACGTAACATCGAGTCTTATCTACATTAAAATTTATGATTAGGTAACTACAAAAAGATAAGGTTATGTTTTGAGGTTATTTAAAAAATATTTCCCAAGATTTCTAAAATGATTATTGAATGAAACTCGGTGATAAAACTAATTAACGTGCGAGAAGTGCTACTAACTTTATTATTATTAAATTAAAGCCTATAATCCTTTCGTTGAAATTCAATATGGACCGAAATCTAGATCGAATTTGAAGGTTAAGATTTACAGAATTTGTGTCGACATATTATAGAACGTAATTTCATCAGTAAAAATTGATAAAAAACGTATATACGTGCGTATACAGGACAATAAATATTTTACACAGTCATCGATAATAGATTGGTAACATGATAATCGCTCGGGGTCAAATTTCGAAAGTGAATTTGTTGAGATAATGACAGCTGTGGTACGCCGAAATAACAAATCTAGATTTATTGTCGGTAAAATATACTTTGAAAAAAAAAAATTATCTTACCGGCATTTTGCCTCGTTTTGGTTTTTCCGTTCATTCCTAAACCGTCAGTATTCTCTCTCAATGTAAATTACTCGAAAATTCAAGATGGCGCCAAACTAAAAGATACTATGGAGTTTTTTTTTTAATTAAATGTTACAAAACTAGTAATTTCACACTAGATAAAATACATTTTCACTCTTATCTTATGTCGAGTCACTATGTTTCAATTGCTATTACATTTGAAGTACCGAAGTACACTACGTGATATTTATTTGTATGATAAATTTAGTATAAACAATAGGAACATGATACAGCGCTTAAAATTGTCAATTTGTCAAATATAAACAGAGAAAGTAAATGCGGTTGAAGAAAGCTTGCTAATTGTACAAAGAGGTTCGAAATTCAATCGGCAGCTTTATCTACAGCAGGTAACGACGAGACTGGTTCGAATCCGTCGCCACCTTTTCCCATTCCACCGCGTGGCGCCCTCTGCGCCATCTTTTGTCTCTCTTCATCCCGAGGTTTCTTTTCTGGCTTCTCTTTACTCTATGCCTCTCTCTTGCTCGCGAGCTTCTCTTTTTAAGATCGTGGGCGGAAATTAGAATAACCAGTCTAGCCAGTCGTGTTGTAGTCAGCGCACGGTTCGCACGTATTCGCTTTCGCGTGGACATTTATTCGAAATTCCGGGCCGCTCTCTATTTTTTTTTCCTTTAAATTTCTTTAATTGTTTTCCGTTCGCCGACAAACGAAACCCCTCGATTTCGATCCGAAGGATCAATCTGTCGCACGTTCCTCGATCGAAACGGCCTCGATTCCGCTCGAATGGGAGACTACGAGTTTTTGCCAGTTCGAGATCATTTTTTGCCTCTCGGCCCGGTAATCGATTTTGGATACATCGATAGGATTGCGTCATGACAGGCCTGAATTTGTCGAAGCCAGCGTACGTACATTATTTGCATTCGTATATTTAATTAATTTATTAAACGTATTACTGCAACATCGTTTCTTTCTTCCGTTTTTTATTTTTCTTCTGCCGTGTTTCCGCCGGTTTCATCGAATCGATCTACTAATAATCGTTATTTCTTTGGCTTGAGAATGATTTTATCTCGGTCGAATGCGATACTGTGATATATATATATATACAATAATGTTTACTAGGAGTTTATAGACAACCCGAAACACCGGTGAATTCGCGCGAACTTAGTTAACTACATTTATAATTAATTTAGAGTTTTGGTAATTATTTTCGTGGATATTACAGTGAGTTTAGATATTAATATATATAGATATAATAATAATTACATAATATATTACAGTGAGAATATTAATATATTATTATTAAGAATATTAATTTATAAATTAATATTATTAAGAATATATTATATTTATATAATTAATATTATATATAAATATTTATAATTAATATATTATTAAGAATATAATTACATTATTATAGAATTAATATCATTATATATTAAGAATATTAATATATTACAGTGAGTTTAGACAGTCTGTTAATAAACAGTCTGATTAATTAAACGACCCATTGGCGGCCATTGGTAATATAATTCGCTGGTGTTATTAATTAAAAAATATCTACGGTAAAATATAGTTTATATTTAACCGTAGAGAGAGAGATTTTGTCGCAATTAGCAAAGCATTATTGTAACGATAACCGCACGGGTTAATTCTGTTAACTTTTTTTTTGACTCGATAACTTGTTCGTCGATTAACAACGAATTCACGATAAAAGAATGATGAAAAAATTAACGATTGTGGAAACGATGACAAACGTTAATTTGAGGCACGTTCGAGATAAGTCCCGAAATAAATCGTTTTGGTTGACTTTTAAGCATTCTGTGACACAGTGAGCGAACGGAATGCTAATGAGACTTATGAATGGGATAGTATGATAACGCGTTAATGGTCGCCACAATGGAATGTATGCGAGTACGATGGCGAAACGATTTCTAGTCGTTCTGGAATGCAAAGCCCTCCGCTGTATACATTATTCTGATACACAGTCATTATTCTCGCAACATTAAATTCTCTCGAGTCGAATGAATTCTTTCAGAAAGTATCTGACATAGTTAAAACAATTAATATCTCTTCAAAAGGACAAAGAAATTTCGATTACACCACGCATGTACATTACAACAGCAAGCACGTCGCGGATAATACACGTATCAGCGTGTGTGCAGCAAAATTTAAAAAGCGCGGCGAAACCGCCGCCATAGGCGTAAGAAGTCAAACTTTCCATTCTAGGTCATTTAGGTTATGTCGAATTTTTACACGGCTCCGTTTCGCACCGTGCCGAAACTTCGCACGTCGAGACATTCGATAAATCGGTCGATAAGATAACGGCTCGAGAATGATTTTCGCGTGGTTCACGTTTTCGAAAATGTTCCGGCAGAATCACGAGCGAATCGCGGTCAATTGACTCACGTTGCTGCCATTGTAATGCGCGTGCGTACGCGCATTCGTGAAGGTGTACGCGCACGGTACGACTACGGATGTAATTACATCGCGAGCGAACCGGAAGTGGAAACGGTCTGCTCGGTTTTTGCCGGTTAAATGACTGCTTTATACGCTTGATCGTTTCGGAGAATTGCGCGGCTGGAAAAGGGATTTATTCCGTACGATCTGTGCATTTTAAGCGAACTTGTGTCTCAATAAATCTTTGTTTTAGGTGCTTTAACTATTCTCTAATATATTATTTATTTTAATGGATATTATAATTATATATATAATATTAAATATACATCTATTATATCTATTAGAATTATATATATATATATAATTCTAATAGATATAATAGATGTAATTAATCTAATAGATATAATTCTAATACATCTTATCTTAATTCCAACACAATTTATTTTAATTTTAATTAATCTTATCGTAATTTCAATACATTCGATTTTAATTTTAGCACATTTTATTTAAATTTTAATACATCTAGTAGAACGGTCCGTAACGACGAATTTCGTGCAATAATATTATTGTTCATATCGCATATGAAAAATCATTGATTAATTATAATATCGTATAAGAATGTTTTCAAATCATAATAAGCTGTACCGGACGACTCGTTTAAGCACCACGAAGGACGCGCGATCGGATTTGTAGTCGGGACTGCAATAACATAAATGCAATGGTCTTGCAATCGACTTCGCGGCCAGCCTTTTGCGTATTGTAAATCGCGAAAGCGTTTCGTAAAAGGTGAACAGAGACAGCTGTTCATTTGAATGGTGGGGTATCGCGTGATTTCTCAATGAACGAGCCATACGTTCGTACCCGTATCATTCATTCGAGCCGGCACGTGTGCTCGTGTACGCAACGAACTTAAGGCGAAACATTGCCGGACAGTCGAAGCTGTTGTAACGTCCACGAGAAAAATGATCTAGCCGGATTCACATTTCAGAGGAGTCCGATCATTCGGCGCCCCTGACTCGTTCGTCTTCAAAATGATATTACTGCTTACTATATTTATATATATTTATTACTGCTTATTATATTACTCTGGAAAAATGTCAACAACATATTCGAAATATACAGGGTGTCCCAAAAATGTCTCGCAATCCGGAAATGGCGGGTTCCTCGGATCATCCGAAGCAACTTCTTCCTTTACAAAAATGTTCTCCGAGGCACCGTTAACGAGTTATCAACGAAAAACCGTGACCAATAAGAATCGAGTACGGCCGACGCGAGGCGGCCCAGCCAACCAGCGCGCGAAGCCCAGTTCCGCTCGTTGGCTCGGTCGCCTCGCGCCAGCCGAGCTCGCCTCTCATTGGTCACTGTTTTTCGTTGATAACTCGTTAACGGTGCCTCGGAGAACATTTTTGTAAAGGAAAAAATTGCTTCAAACGACCCAAGGAACCCGCCACTTTCGGATTGCGAGACATTTTTGGGACACCATGTGTATTTCAATTTCAAACATTCATTTTAATTCGTTTCAGGTGATGCCACGGGGGCCCAGCCGGGTGTACCTGTCGACCGCGTTCGTGATCCTGCTCGGCCTCCACAAAGCTGGCAGCTCTGCATCCGCCCCCCAAGATCCGATCTGCAAGCCAGATCTCGAATTCTGGTCGTCCGAGCGTGGCACCTGCTGGCCCTGCACCAGATGCGCCCCTGAGTTCACTGTGAGCCCGTGCGCCGTCTACAAGGATGCGATCTGCGGACCGCTGTCGGCCCTCGAGCTCGACTGGTCCTTCCTTTCGGCCAGGAAGAGACCGGAAACGGGACAAAGGAGAGTCGATCCAGATTCGGATCTGGACCAACAGCAGGCCCGAAAACAGCCCGACGATCTAATCGATGGCGAGAGAAGCGCCGAGGTGGACACTGCTGATCAGGTAACCGGCCGCCATCTTGGACAGATTCGAATGGTCAGCTGATTCAACAGCGCGGACATTTGTTAACAAGAGTTTTAATTACTGTAATAAATTAGAATATATTGGTCTGCATAAAGATCCGCTGTCTAGTTGTAATATATTAGTATTGTATGCTATCTAAATCGGTGTAATAATTGTTTAAATATTTTGTTGTTGTTGTTGTATAGAGGACCAGTGAGTCTCTCACGAGAAAAACGTCTTCCGGAGAGAGGATCCTGTGGGATTGGCAAAGCGCTGCGTTGATCCTTGCAGTATGCGCGTGCATCCTGTTCTTCTTGGTCGCAGGATGCTCGGCATTGGTCTACACGAGGCAGTGGCGTCGCATGAAGAAGAATTTCGAGCCTGGTGAGCAAATATAATTTTTCGCTAATTTATTGTACATTATTATATATTGTAATGTATATTATAATATATAATATATACACTATAATATATATTATAATAAATAATATACACTAAACATATTATAATATATGATGTACACTATAATATATTACAATATATATTATATAATTATATATATAAATATAAATTGTTAATTAAATTAAATTATTAACATATATTATATAACCATATATGGTTATATAATATATAATATACACTATAACATATTATAATATATAATATACACTATAATATATTACAATATATATTATATATAATTATATACATAAATATAAATTATTAATATCAATATATTATGAGACTCCATTAAAATATTATTCACTTCAGGTTTTAAAGTTGCACGTATCGGACAATATTTAAGAATTACATTTCAAAATATGCACAATTAATCGCGTTGCAATAATACAGAAAATCGCTAACAATCCAAACAGATTTGGTAGAAACTGTAGAAACTGGCCCGATAAAAATCGCAGTCGCGTTGTCGATTCTGCCAATTTCGGGATGAAATTTTCCGATCGCATAAAGAGAAGCACGCGCTTCGATCATGGTACGACGATGTTTCGGTGAAAATTTTATTTGACCCCGGGAAAAATTGCCGAAGTCCCGGTTTGTCCCGGTGTCGCGGATCCGGAGGGGGGGAGGGGTGAACAAAACCGGGTGCCAGCTCTGGGATTTCGCGAAATCCGATCCCGCGGGATCGATAAGTCGATCGTGGTGTGGGGGGACACGGCGCAGTCCTTTAAAATGCGAGGCGGATTTTCTTCATTAGAGGGCCGCTCACGACCTCTGCTCACCTTGGCTCGATCTATCACGCCCGGATATGACGTCTCGGGTTTCGATGCTTCTCGTTTCTTTCAGCGTTGCTCCGTTCCGCGTTTTCTTTGTGCTCGCAGTCGGATTGTTTATACGGATCGTTCGATTTGTTCGCCGGACGACTTTCCACGATTTTTCTCGAATTCACGCTTCGCGATCCACGAGAGCGCGATTGTTTCATTCGATCTCCCGCATCGATGTCTCGTCGACTTTTAAAAAGACGAACGATCCATAAAATCTCTGTGTCTCTCAAGGTCACGGGAAGGTTATCACGGCGTAGGTCGCTGGACAGCTCGCGATCCGCGCTGTTTCTCGACGATCTCAAAAATATGCGTCGCCGTCCGAAGAACACCGATGGCCTCGAGATCTCGAGCCGCGCGACCTTTGAGAAAAGTTTCTCACTCGCCGCAACATCCGACCGTCGAAACCGAACAACATTTTCCTCCGACATATCTTCGTATCGCTAAAGGCAAGCGAATTATTCAAGGTGCTAGAATAATAATCGTCGAAACAGCAGGGATAATTAAACAATTTTTTCTGTAAATACCAGCGGCGGATTGACAAATTGAAAAATGTCAGGACGGTCCAGATGGGCTCTGGTTCGATCGACAATGTGGGAAAATGCGTGTCGAGTCAGTGGGTGCGAGGGAAAATTGTTTCTGCGACTCCGGGGCGCGTCTCTCTTTTTTCAGTTTTCCGGAGGAAAAATATTTGGGGAGGGGGAAAAGGCGGGATCGGAGGATGCGAAATTGTGTTTAATTGGTGTCCCGGCTGAAACGAAGAGGAGGCATTGTCGGCGTGCCCACTAACGGATTGGTAATACAAGCGAATGATCGCGCATTCGGTACCGTTTCACCGCTGGCCGTGCTTACTAAAGGGGACTCCTGTTAGGGCCCATTACCTGATCCCACTGCCAATGTTGTCAGCCACCGCTGAGAACCATTCGTCAACCTCCCCTTTATTTCTATCCTCGCATAACTCCTTTTATCACCGTACCACTACAAAACAAGTACTCTCTGCGACGACGAAAACGAGAAAAAAAGATGCTTCAACTTTGCTACCGTTTGTCAATTCATTATTGCGATCGCGTTAGCAGCGAGAGAGCAATATTTTATTTGAAGAGAATCCACCTTGAATACGTATTAAAAATATTAATTATAATATTTAACCAATTTAATTATATATATATTATTTATATAATATTTAATATATATATATATATATATATATATATATATATATATATATATATATAATTATAATTATAATATATATATAATTATAATATATTAATATATATAAATATTATAGATATAAACCCTTGTAGAATGAATGATATTAATCGGAATAATTATTTAATCAACGATTGTTGGTCCTCGTTAGTTTATTGTTGCCTTTTCGTAGGAGATTATTGAAATCGAACGATAGAAAACAATTATTTCTGGTTAATAAATAGAAAGAACGATAGCTGAGAAATAGTATAAACAATTTTTGGGAATTGTTGTTCGAACAACAATTCGTGTCGGGGTCTGAGAGCGTTGTCGTCCGGCGGATTTTCTTCTGTAACCGGCAACGAGAAGAACACCGAGCCTCAGTCTGGAGCGAGGCTATCGCTAGATTCATCTCATGGGGCCTTGAGAAAGCAGAACCGCATTCCATAGCTGTTCAACTCGCATTCCACCCTCGATAGGTCGTAGACACCATCCTTCCACGCTCCCAGGTCAAATTGACAATTAAAAATAACTGGTTCTGAACCTGTCCTCGGACCAACTGCATTCCCCTTTTACTCAAATAAAATATTCAATGTTACTAAATAAAATTAATACAGCATTTCAATGTCGATGCAAAATATTTATTTAAACAGCAGATAGAAGCAAATGGAATTTTTTAATTTATTTTCGACGATTCTTGTGATTTAGCGTTATTCAATTGTATTTTTATTTATTCGTACGATTTAGGATCATTCGATTTTATGTTATTTATTCGTACGATTTAGGATTATTCGATTTTATGTTATTTATTCGTACAATTTAGGATTATTCGATTTTGTTATTTATTTGTACAATTTAGCATCATTCAATTTTATTTTTATTTATTCGTACAATTTTATTTTAATTTTAATTTTATTTATTCTATACACATATTTAACCAGTATCCAATTTCGTTTTCATTGTTTATACAAATTCGGTATGATTGAACTAATCGCCACCGTTTCACAGAATTTCGCATTATTTAATTTGATTTCGATCGATTCATAGAATTTCGCCGTAACAATAATCTTATCTTCATCGATTCCCACAATTTCGGATCAGTCGATTTTCGTTTATCCCGACGTTATTATCGATCAAAGTTAATCCGAAAATATTCATGTCGCGACATTCATATTCACGACAGCTGATTATTCAGCGCTATTGTCCGACGCGCCGGCATTATGTCAAACCCGTTTAAACGAAGATATATACGCGCCCGACCAAAGAGAGGAATTCTTTTCTCCGAATGCTAACAGAGATTTTTATCTTGGTTTACAGTGGGTCTGGAAGAGATCTCGGCGCGGCTGAATTTAATGGTGAAGGCGGAACTAGCCGAGCTGGTCGCCGGTGCACCTGTGCACGTTGCTGATCCCCAGAGGAGGTGTCAATATTTGGAGAAGCTCTTAGGTAGAAAAGCGTTTCTCTGACTCCGAAACAATGTGTCTGTAAATCCTAATTAAATTACCAAGCATACCGTTTTATATAAATCCAGCGAATGGATTTGCAATATTTTTCTTCTGAAAAGTTCTGTTCTTGTACAGTCGACGAAAAGAATATTTGTTGGACGCCTTGTGAACTAATTCATTTATGTACGTGGCTCGATACTGATGCTCCCTGCGATTTCTTGCAGGCCGTTTTATATAAATCCAGCGAATTTTCTATCGTCGAATGGATTTGCAATATTTCTCTTCTGAAAAGTTCTGTTCTTGTACAGTCGACGAAAAGAATATTTGTTGGACGCCTTGTGAACTAATTCATTTATGTACGTGGCTCGATACTGATGCTCCCTGCGATTTCTTGCAGGCCGTTTTATATAAATCCAGCGAATTTTCTATCGTCGAATGGATTTGCAATATTTCTCTTCTGAAAAGTTCTGTTCTTGTACAGTCGACGAAAAGAATATTTGTTGGACGCCTTGTGAACTAATTCATTTATGTACGTGGCTCGATACTGATGCTCCCTGCGATTTCTTGCAGGCCGTTTTATATAAATCCAGCGAATTTTCTATCGTCGAATGGATTTGCAATATTTCTCTTCTGAAAAGTTCTGTTCTTGTACAGTCGACGAAAAGAATATTTGTTGGACGCCTTGTGAACTAATTCATTTATGTACGTGGCTCGATACTGATGCTCCCTGCGATTTCTTGCAGGCCGTTTTATATAAATCCAGCGAATTTTCTATCGTCGAATGGATTTGCAATATTTCTCTTCTGAAAAGTTCTGTTCTTGTACAGTCGACGAAAAGAATATTTGTTGGACACCTTGTAAACTAATTCATTTATGTACGTGATTCGATACTGATACTTCCTGCGATTTCTTGCAGACCGGAAGAGGAAATCCCCGGTGATGGTAAGCTGGCCGGAAGTCAGCGGAAACCTTTACATTGAAGAGGGCGAGCCCGCGAAGGGCAAGCCCCTCCAGATAGCCAGGATCCATCGGAACATCGAGACAATGTTGAGCCAGAAAAAGAATCTTGCGGAGCAGTAAGACGAGATTGCCTTAAACGCCCTCTCCGAGGGGGCGACTAATTACAAATTCAACCGGCGACTATTTACCGGCGAGTATTTATAGTTCTATTTATGACTGTCGCGAGGGATGAACGTGTTCTTTGTAAAACGCGCCGAGGACGAAAATTGTTAACGCGGAATCGCTGTAATCGTTGTAACCTTGCTCTCCGTAGCGTCGCCGCGGTATTATTTAAGTAATATTTAGTCGATATCAGAGTTGAAGACAAGAGCGTCGCGCGTTTTAGCAGAAGCGGTGCCATCGGCAGGCGTTTAGAGCGGGAGGACGCTATGGAGGGAAATCGTATGGTCGGCGCTAGGCTTGCACGAAATAGGGGAATCGATTGAAATTAACGAAGAGAATGTAATCGCGATTGCATGGAGCAGTTGGGCCCAGAAAATGAATATATACGAATGCTATTGTTCCTCGAGTGTCAATAACTATAGAAATGAAACGCCGCAAGGTACAAAACTATTATCGATAAAACGTACGTGCGATATTTTGTATTATTTTTTACTAATTTAACGATTTATACAGAGTGAGATTCTTCAAGGGAAAAAAGGAAACGAACAGTCGGAATTCCTTGGATCGTCGCATTTATCTTTTTTTGTACAAACAATACCTTGACATGTTCACGGTAACTGTTCGGACAGCTTTCCAAGCTGACGATCGTGAAAATGGGGCCCCATGAATATATTTCTCTGAAAACGTTTGTCCAATCTCTGTCACGAACCGCGGACATCGTAAATTGAATTTAATCATTTCATTCTGTATGGTTGTTCTTCTACGTTTACGTAAGCGCATGGGAAATAAGGGAAACGCCGATGCCTACGGGGTCCCGTGGCTCGACCGTAAAATCGAGCAACGTGCCCGACCCAGCCAGACAAGCGATTGTTATTTATTTCTTCCGTCTAGCTTTAGAGACTGCCATTATCTTTTGTATTGTAACATAGGAAAACGTGAACGAAATAAATTCATATCGTAATCGAAACATCGTAATCGCGTCGAGGGGGTGTCGAATGATCGGGTAACAACGCCTTTCGTTCTTTAAATCGCTAGATTTAATTAGCTTAGAGTTACAAGTTTATGGTTTATATTAAAATAATGAACAACGTAACAACACGCAAACTCTCAGAAAAATATTCTCATTCACGCGTCGTCTCGCACTCTCGCCGTTCCTTTTCACCGTTTTGTTTTCTCTCTCGCCCCTTTCTTACTTAATTCTAACGCTCTCGTACCTGTGTCCTTGAACTGTTTGCGGGGGCCGAGGTGTGAAATAGGGCCGCCATCTTCGCGAACGATCGATCACGGTGCCGGAACGTCGTTCGTAGCTATCATTGTAACGCTCTAATGTCGATCACGATCGAGATTCGCGCCGACGTGTTTAAGAGGGAGATTCAGCTTATTCGCGAACTGAACGATTCGAAAATAAATCTGTCGTTGTAATTAACTGGCGAGCTAGTCCACACCTCGTCTGTCGTTAAGCTTGCGTCTAACGATACCGAAAATACTGGTTTATTGTTTCTTTCTTTGTTTCTCCTCTTTTATCGCTACGGTACCTGCGCCTTATCTCGTACACGAAAATATCACTATAACGTGGCGCGCGTTATGGGTCCTTTTTCTCTTGTCCCGTCGCGTCGGTTCACCCTCGATCAAAGCGATCGGTCAAATTAGAATTCGCATCTCGATACCAAACAAGAAAAAACAATCGATAAAGCTTGGAGATCGCGAACCAAGGTCGAGGCCGCTGTGGTCGCGATTTAGGATTTATGATCGGAGGCTACCCTAAACTGTGACACACGCGCGTCTAAAATTTCGAATTGTTTGTCCTCTAGCAAATCACGGAAATCTCGGCAACGACGCGATGTTCGGCGTTAGCGAAAGAAAGAAAGAAAAGAAAGAACATGAAACTGAGAATGAAAACGTTCATTTGTTCTCGACGTCCATCATTTATTTACAATCAGGTTCAATTGGAGACGATCCGTTTCAACGAGCAACAGCGTCTCGAGAATTTCGACGAGGCGTCGGGGAGAGACTACGAAGATCTTAGAAATCCGTAAAAAATCACGTAGAAACTGTAGACCGCCTCTAAGAAAAGCAGAGAGAGAGAGAGAGAGAGAGAGAGAGAGAGAGAGAGAGGGAGAGATAGCCCCGTCAACGAAAATAATGCGAATGTTCTGTGCTCGTTCTCGTCTCGTTATCTGTTCGGGAGTGAACTTTATAGACTCGTCTCTATGTAAATATATATTTGATTGTTTCCTTAGAACTTTTACACTTTCATTAGAAGGAAGTACGGAATTCGGTACGGCTTCTCCTCGGGAAAAGTGCTGCACGACGACCCTAAAAGCGTCTTTTAAATCGTTCAGAGTATCGAGAAAAGAAACGTTTCATTTCGTCGCGAACGACAGGGATGTTATCGCTTCTACTCGAAAAACTACCCGGTACAGTAATGTCTCCCTAATTGACGCTCAGATTGTACAGAAAAATCGACAATTTAGGGAGAGGATTTTTTTGTAGTTGCTATATATAAAAACGAACCGTCCACTGCTTTCGTCGAAGTTTCAAATTTTCGAAAAAATTGTCGATATTCGAACGGCTGTAACTTTGTGCAAAAAAATTGTACAACAATGGAGATTAGCTCATTTTAAAGCCTGAAATGTCTACTTTCGGAGGCCGTGCGTCGATTTCTCTAATAAAATTTATTTGCGACACGGTGGATGGGAATCCTCGTTCTAGATTTTACTAGTTTCGTCGCGAAGTTTCAAATTTTCGAAAAATTTGTTGATATTCGAACAGCTATAACTTTGTGCAAAAAAATCGTATAGCAATGGAAATTAGCTCATTTTAAAGCACGAAGTGTCTACTTTCGCACGTCGTTCGTCGATTTCTTTAAAAAAATTTATTTGCGACACGATGAAAGGGAAACCTCGTTCTAGATTTTTACTACTTTTGTCGAAGTTTCAATTTTTCGAAAATTTGATGATATTCGAACGGCTGTAACTTTGTGCAAAAAAATCGTACAGCAATGAAACTAGGCTTAAATTAAAGCCGAAAGTGTCTACTTTCGGAAGGTATCAGTCAGTTACTTCTAAAAAAATTGATTTATAATATAACGAATGGGAAGCCTCGTTCTAGATTTTACGAATTTTCAAACAATTGATGATATTCGAACAGCTATAACTTTGTGCAAAAAAATCGCACAACAATGGATCTCGGTTCATTTTAAAGCCCGAAGTATTTACTTTCGAACACCGTTCGTCGATTTCTTTAAAAAAATTTATTCGCGACACAGTGGATGGAAAACCTCGTTCCAGATGTTACACGAAATTTCTAACCCCCGAAACATCGACGATATTCAAAATACTGTAACTTCGCGAACAAAAATCGTAGGACAACGAAACTAAACTCATTTTAAAGCCTGAAATCTCTGCTTTCTCCGTGTGTAATTCATTTACGCCGAAAAAATTTTTCGAAGACACGGCGGGAAGCGGGAAGCTGTAACAATTTATATCGGACAAAGTAGAAACGAATCATTTATGGAATCTTGTAATTAGAAAACGATAATCTTATCATCAATTAGGATCAATTAGGGAGAATTTACTGTACACACAGCGTTTCCACGGGAAAAGAAATAAACGATAGTTAATCGCCGAGGGATTGGTGTGAACGGTTCGTTGGTGTTCGGGTATATTGCTTCGTGTTTATCGGATGTACAGCTTCGTCGATTAGGAACGTGTCTTTTTTTAAAAGTTATGGCTGCGCCACAAGCTCGGATCGATGCGTCCTCGTAAATCTATCTCCTCGTCGATATATAATTGGCAGCTTTCGATTCAGTACTTTCGATGCCTGCTCCCTTCGCTCGAGAATGAACTTCGATAGTTTTCGCTTCAGCAAAAGTCTCCGGTTCGACGTGTAAATTCTCGATTAACAATTGGTCCATTTTTTCATCTGTCGCCGATTACGTGTTAATACCGTACGTTTAGAGGAAGTAGAACACCCAGTAGATCGCGTTGAATAGCATAAAGCTGACCGGGAATATGATCCTCGAATACTTGTCGATGATGTTCACGTCCTTGATCTTCGGCATCGACACCCGCAGCACGGACGCTCCTCTTCTTATCGCGTGCAGAACCTGCATTTTTACAAATTCGAACAAAATCCATCGAGATCTCCATTTTATTTACAGTAAAGAAAGAAAAATCCAAACGACTGCAATTATTTTATTTCTCAGTTTGAGAGAATTCGTAAATTCAATTGTTACGCAATTTTCTGGTCGAAAACAATTCTATTATCTGCTTAATGGTATGCTTAATTTCCTTCAATTATCGTTCAAAAGTGTTCCAAATTATCCCAATTTCCACGTTTGAATTAATAAGTTTAATTATTTCACATTTTTCTGGTCGGAAATGGTTCTATTATTTAGTTAATAATCCGCTTAAATTCTTACGCACTTTTCTGGTCGAAAACAATTCTATTATCTGCTTAATGGTATGCTTAATTTCTTTCAATTATCGTTCTAAAGTGTTCCAAACTATCCTAATTTCCACGTTTGAATTAATAAGTTTAATTATTTCACATTTCTCTTGCCGAAAATAGTTCTATTATTTACTTAATAGTATTCTTAATTTCTTTCGATTATCGTGCAAAAAAGTATTACTAAAAACTATACCAATTTGTTCAGGAGAGTTCGAAGAACAATTTAAAATACAAAACAATTGAATAATTGTCATTGTTAAAGTGCAGGGCGTCACCAAAATTGAAAGTATTTATTTGTCTTCTAAAAATGATTCAGAGTGAAAGTTCGATGCTGTGATTTCGTGAAATAGCGATCAAAAATTCTAAGAGAGAGAGAAAGAGAGAAAGAGAGAGAGAGAGACGTACCTTAGGCTTGTGATGCTTGGGCCCCCTGTACCTTAGGCCAATGTTTTTCCCGTGAGTGTTGTACGCAGCGACTCTGGACATGCGAAAACTGGGGGGAAACTTGACTGGATCATGCTCCCTTCCGGCTCCGGGGGTGGAGCCGCCACTGATTAGGCCAGATCTGTTCCTTATGCTCGGTAAAGGGGACATTCGAATATCCTGCAGCTCGATTATGTCGGCCTCCGTGGATCCCGGGAACGGGGAACTCGTTTTGCTTCCTGTCGAATCATTTCATTTAAAATTACTCTCATTATTGTTGTTAACCCTTTCGATTCTCGAAACCATTCTAACCCTCATATATAAAACAATTTTTCTGATTTACGCTCATTTTCATTTGCTACAACTTAAGTACATTTTATATATATATGTAAAATAAATATATAATTATATATTTATTTTACATATATATATATAATTATATATTTATTTTACATATATATATATAATTATATATTTATTTTACATATATATATATAATTATATATTTATTTTACATATATATATATAATTATATATTTATTTTACATATATATATATATATGTAAAATAAATTTAACTTTGTGACTCGAGCGAAACAATTACGCTTTGAACAGTTTTTAAAATATAGACGATAAAAATAAATAGATAATAAACAAAATAAATAGACAATAAATAGGCAAATAATAGGCAAACACGTTGTGCGACAATTCTAAGCGACGACTCGTTGTCATTGATCCAGCGCAAAGGGTTAATTATTATATTGTATCAATTTACGAAACGAATTGTTCCATATAAGATTGTTCGACTTTTCGAAAGGCTGCGCCGCTGTTACGAAAGTACTTAGGTCCCGTGAAATTCTGTTACCCGTTTTAGAAGTGATCACTTTCTTGTCGTCGGTCTCTTTCTTTTTCGTCTTCTTCTTGGCTCTCGCGCCCCAGTACGTGTAGTTCACCGCCGCGTACTCCAACAGGGCCGCGAACACGAAGACGAAGCACATCACCAGGTAAATGTCGATCGCTTTCACGTAGCTGATACGTGGCAGTGAGCTACGCACGCCCGTCGAGATCGTGGTCATCGTGAGCACCGTCGTGATACCTGTAAAATTGAACGAATTGCTGGGAACGGTTATATTGTGAGAATGATAAAATTGGTTAAATTCTAAGAATGATAAAATTGGTATAATTGTAAAAATAATATAATATTAGTCAACTTGTAAAAATAATAAAATTGATATAATTCTAAAAATAATATAAAATTGATAAAATTGTGAGAATGATAAAATTGGTATAATTGTAAAAATAATAGGATTGATGTAATTGTAAGAA